GGACCGAGGTATGAGATCGAGGTCGGTTTGGAGGGGGTATCCTTATGTTTTTCGTGTTTGTCAGACGTTCTTGTGCATCGTGGGGCCAGCGTTGGGGAAGGCACCCTCGGATGATTTTCAGTTTGGCCGGCGGAGGGTCTCATGTTCTTGAGGGGTGTGTTTCTGTCTCAGGTCCGATTGTAGAGGCCCGAGCTATGGCCCGACAACGCACGGGGACGGGGAGAGGCTCGGGGGGCGGTCTTCTAAGAAGGCGGGCGGCTTCCCAGAAGGGCGCGGAGGCTTCAGGGACGGCCTGTGGGAGGGCTTCTGAGGAGGCCACCATGCCTTGCAGGAAGGCCGCCCCCGTCGCAGCACCCCCTTGTGCGCTTCGTCAACCCCCCTCTCTGCCCCCTTCCCCTGGTTCCCTCCACGGTTCCCTCTCAACAGGAATACATTCTCCTCTCTCCTCGGATCCTTTCCGTGGGGTACAAGACTTCAAAAGCTGGTCGTTCATCTGGTTTGTGTCAGTCGGAACGTATCTGGTGTTTCAAGCTGGTGCCTGCTGCAGCGCTGGCTTCTGTTTAGGCCAGTCGTGCAAAGTTATGCTTTCGCCCCAGCGCCGGCCACAATGCAGGACCCGGGCCCTCCATCGTCGTTGTCGCACCGCTCCTTTCCCCTCGTCCGCCTTCCATTGATCCTCCTGCTCCTCCCGCTCCCCCCTGCTCCTGCTTGTGCTCTTGCGGCTGCTGTTCCTGCACGTTCCTCCTCCTCTTCCTCTCGCTCGTCCTCCTGCTCCTCCGCCACCTCCTGCTCCTCCCCCACTGTGCACAGCTCCCCTTTTTTCTGACTGCGCAGAATTCGCGTGATGTGGGTCCTTGGAGATCTCCAGGCCCGCTACGCCACCCGTCGGCGGGTTGAAACACAGCAGCGCCATGGGAAGGGCTGGGCGGCAGGGGCAGGAGGTCAGATACAGCGAAAAGTAAGGATGGGCAACCCTCGAAACCCTCGCCAAGGGTACTACTTCTACTCTCCCGGATCTCATAAACAATGGGGACAATGGTGGTAAAACTATGGGGGGTGGGGGTGGGGTTCTGCTTCTGGGGCTGGGGGGGGGGTCTCCGGAAGCTACCGTCAAAACACATTTGTGGGGGGGTCCCTCTCGATTTTGGACCTTGTTGTTGGGTTGCCTGTCTTGGAGGGTGGTGGAGGGGGGGGGGGGGCGGGGTCCCAGACACCGGCCGCCAACGGGCCTTTTTTTCACAGAAAAACACTTTTTTTTTAGAGGGAAAAAAAAAACGTTGAACGGCGCTGAGCCCCCCCCCCCACTATTATGAGATTTGGAGTACCTTTGTATCCGTGCCTCCTCGGTTTGCCCACGCTGGCCGCGCCCCACTCGAACAGCTTGGAAACCTGGCGTCCAAGGCCCTCGCATACCTCTCGCGCAAACCGTCTGACACGGGCCGATTGTATGGCCCGTGCGCATCTGGCTTGCTCGTCATCCTCTCGGCCGTCCGACCCCCCCTCTGCCTTCACCCACCGCGCGTTTCGCTGCTCTCGCAAAGTGCCTGCTCGCAGATGTCCGGAACACGCGTCCTTGCCTCGATGCAAATGGATCGTGAGGCCTTCGCGGCGGAGCCAGGCCGTTTGCGAGCATTTACATTTATGTGTGCCAGTCGTGGCACGCGCTTGTCTATGCCCCTTCTGCCCATAATCGTGCAATCGTGTATGGCAGATTGTTGTTGGAGGTGTGGTTGTCTAGGCCCCAAGACCCCCATTGGAGGTGGCCGACTCGGTGCGGGCATGGTCGCTGCATGTAAGCAACACCCCACCTGAGCAGGCAAAACAACTTTGGCCAATATTCAGAGGTAGCCATCGGTTGCGTTTTCGTTGTTTATAAAGAGCCAGGGTCTGGAGCTCACGGCGCCAACGACCATGATCAGAATTACAGTTGTTTTGTGCATTGCAGTTTGTTTGCATTGCAGTTTTTGTTTGCATTGCAGTTTTGTCGTTCTAGCTTCAGCTTTGGATTCCGAGAGGGGAGGCGAGAGCGGTTTGGGGAGGTCCAGAGAGGGTCTGAAGCCCACGGTGCCAACGACTATAATCAGAATTACAGTTCTTTTTGTGCATTGCAGTTTTTTTGAATTGCAGTTTTTGTTTGCATTGCAGCTGTGCCGGTCTAGCTTCAGCTGTGGATTCCGCATGCGAGGCGAGATCGGTTTGGGGAGGTCCAGGGAGGGTCTGAAGCCCACGGCGCTAGTCACCGCTGTGTGGGCAGCTCTACCAAGCAAGCGAATATGAGGAGGTAGAAGGCAGGAGGAGGTATGAGGAGGCAGAAGAAAGCATAATGTGGCAACAGACTGCAGAAGGAGGTAGGAGAAACTCCGCATGCTAACAACATCCAGAACGGACGACGACGTCAGCGACGACGACAACGTCGACGATGCCAATAACAACGACGACGCACGGTAGGTTCGCGTCGTGTCGACCAGCGGCGACCCCGCCGCCAGCGATTCAGAATCGTTCGATGCTGAACGATCTGACGTTTCGAAAACGGCCGATCGTTCACGGTTGAGCGATCCCCGCGGTGTCAGGAACCAACGCCAGGATTGGCACGACGCGAACCTGCCGTGTTTGGCCATGGGAGCTTTTGGAAGCGTCTGTGGGCCTTGAAATGAAGCCCTTCGGGCCCTCTTAGGGCGCTCTTGGAGCGCTCCTGGGCCTTCCTGCAGAGCCCTTGGGGCCGTCTTGGTTCCTCTTGGCCCTCTCTTGGGCCATCTTGGAGCCATCTTCGAGGCCATCGATGAAAGAAAGGAAGGTACTTTTCTCCGCCCCCGCGTCAGGGCACCCAACATCGCTTCTTGGGCCCCGCTTGGAGCGCTCTTGGAGCTGCATTCGAGCCCTCTTGGGACCTTTTTCGGTCATCTTGGGGCCATCTTGAGCACACGAGAGCCCATCGGAAGCGATAAGGCGAGAAAGCAAACATCTTTGATTTTATAGAATCGCTTCGCTCATTCCGCCAGTCCGTATTATGCCATCGCTGGCGTTAGGGCCGTTTGGGGGCCTTTTGGGGGCCTCTTGGGGTTCTCTTAAGGCATTTTGAGAACCTCTTGGAGCCTGTTGGGGGTCTCTTGAGGGCTTCTTGGGGCCTCCTGGGCTCCTCTTGGAGCGGAGGGCTCAAAATGTCTGTTAGGGCTCCCCGTCTGGGCAGCCTCTTGGGGCCGTCCTGGGGCCAGGCCTCTTGGGCCGTCTTGAGGCCCTCTTGGACCGTCTCGGGGCCCTCTTGGAGGCCTCTTCGGCCGTCTTGGAGCGATATTTAGGGCCTGTTCGGCCGTGGATGCCAGGACCTTGCTGGTCCGGGGACTTCCAGGGGCCGTCCCGCGCGCGCGCGAACTAGAAATATCTTTTACCAGTTACTGAAGATTTTAGCGCGCCTCTGGCCCGTTGGGCCGGCGAATTCAGCTTTTAGAAGGGTTTCGACCCTCTTGGAGGCGTTTCGGGGCGCTCTTGAAGCCGTCTTGGAGCCATCTGGGGCCCCTCTGAGGCCTCTCTTGGGCCATCTTGGTGGCCATCGACCAACAAAGAAGGCGGCGACAATTTGGATTCCCCCGTCGGAACCTTCAAAACCACATCGTGGAGCTCTCTAGAGACGTTCTTGTGGCGGTCTTGAGCGCTCTTGGGGCGATCTTGGGCCTCTCTTGGACCCCTCTTGGGGATCTCTGGGTCCATCCCAGAGCCACCTCGAGGCTTCAGAAGCCCATCGGAAGCGAAAAGGCGAGATGGCAAACAACAAACATTGATTACTATTATGTTTTGTAAGGTTGTTCACCTCTCCGTGGCGTTTTTGGGAGGCCCTTTGACCATTGAGAGCCATCTCGGAGGGATCTTGAAGCCTCTTGGAGGTATGTTGCAAGCTATATTTGGCCATGTTTGGCTATTTTCAGCAACCTTGGAGGCCATCGTTAGCTCTTTTGGGCCTTCTTGGAGCCATCTTGGACGCTCTGACCGCTCGCGAAAGGTCCCGTCCAGGTCCACGGGGAGGGGGGGTACCGAAGAGGAAGAAGGGTTTTTTGTTCAAGAAGGGACTATCAAAACTACTCAAGCCCGAAGGGCTGGTGGGATATTAGCCCCCTCCTCTGGGACCGTCAACATTGCCTCTTGGGCCCCTCTGCGGCCCCTCTTGGTCGCTTCTTGGAGGCCTCTTGGGCGTCTTGGGCGTCTCTTGGCAGTCCCGAGAGCCTCTTGAAGCATCTTAGCTGCCTCTGTGGGCGGAGAGACTCTTTAGGCCTCTTGGGGGTCTCTTTGAGACCGCTTGGGATGGGAGTCTTTGGAAGCCTCTTGGGGGTTTCCTTGGAGCCCAGTGGGCGCCTCTTGGGCCCCTCTTGGAAACCTATGGAGCCCTCTTGGGACCATGAAAGGATGAGCAGGAGAAGAAGTAGAGAGCCGCGTCAGCTGCCATATCAGTTCTTCCGCCCAAAAGCAAAGTAAGTCGCTGGGACATAAGAACTTGTCGCTTCAAGCGGCTTAGAACATAGCAACGGGATGTGTACATTGGCTTGTTGATCATCTACTAATCGCCTCCATGGTTTCTTCCTTCCTCCGCAGGTGGGGAGGAGGCGGGGAGGATGAGGAGGAGGAGGAGGAGGAGAGGTTTTCTTCCTCCTTTTCCTTGTCATCCTCTTCCTCCATCCTACTCCTACTCCTCTTCTTCCGCGCTACCTTGCTGCGCGATGTTCAATTCATTGTGAGTATAGCACTCACGGGACAAACAGACAACACGGCGTCGATGGTGTGCGTATCGTATCCGCCTTACCTCCTCGTCCTCCTCTTCCTTCCCCTTCCTCCTCCTCCTCCTCCTCCTCCTCCTCCTCCTCCTCCTCCTCCTCCTCCTCCTCCTCCGCCTCCTCCCCCTCCTCCTCCTCCTCCTCCCCCTCCTCCTTCTCATGTTCATCCTCATTCTCATCCTCATCCTCCTCTTCCTCCCAATCGAGGGGGAGGGGGGTGATGCCCAGCCCGCGCCCTCGCGCCGAGGCGACGGCCGTCGCGGCCGGCGGCCCTGGCGGCGAGCAGCCGCCCGTGGTGTGCCAGTGCGCCGACGCCCCAGGGAATCTTCGCCCGTGGGGGGGGGGGGGGGGGGGCGACTCGGAGGAGGCCGAGTGGAGACGGCAGTCGTTGGCCTTCAGAGGGCCCCGTCGTCGCCACGGCTGGACCTCCTCCTCCCTCTTCTCCTCATCCTCCCCTCCTCCGACTCCTCCGAGCCTCCTCCTCTCCTCCTCCTCCTCCTCCCCCTCCCTCCCCTCCTCCTCCTCCTCCTCCTCCTCCTCCTCCTCCTCCTCCTCCTCCTCCTCCTCCTCCTCCTCCTCCTCCTCCTCCTCCTTCTCCTCCTCCTCCTCCTCCTCCTCCTCCTCCTCCACTCCTCTCCTCCTCCTCCTCCTCCTCCTCCTCCCCCTCTCCCTCCCCCTCCCCCTCTCCTCCTCCTCCTCATCCTCCTCCTCCTCCTCCTCTCCTCCCTCCTCCTTCTCCTCCTCCTCCTCCTCTCCTCCTCCTCCTCCCCTCCTCCTCCTCCTCCTCCTCCTCCTCCTCCTCCTCCTCCTCCTCCTCCGTAGCCATTTTGGCTCAAGATGCCTGGTTCCTTTGGGGCCAAAACGGATACCGCTAGTCCGCGGCCAGTTCTCAGAGTTTTTCGCCTTCTCTGCAGGAGTTGGGCGCCTGCCTTTCCAGTCTTTCCCGAGCTGCTCTCGCCATGGTCCCCCCGCCCTGGCGCACCGAGGATGGCTGGACCAGCGTCGGCGGAGGCAAGAAGGGGAAGAAGTTCCAGACGTACACGTACTGCTCGTGCGGGCATTGGACGTACGATCGTCTGCTGGCTCGCCGCGGCTTCTGCGTGGGTTGCGGCACGGCCATGCAACCTACTGGTGGTGGGAAGAGTGGTGCAGGAGGAGCCAACGGAGCTCCCAGCGGTGGCGGCGGCGGTGCGTCTGGTGTGGATCCCGCGGCAGTGGCAGCGGCCAGGAAGGCGGCCGCACTGCTGCCCCCCGCTGCTGCAGCCGAGTTGCTTGCTACCCTCAAGATCAAGCCAGATCCTCCCCCACCGATGCCCCTCGGCGAGGCCGAGATCAGCTCCGCCGAGGCCAAGAAGCGTGCTGCTACCCGTGCGGTCCAGCAGGCCATCGACGCCCGCCTCCGCCTCGAGGAGCAGATCGCTGCAGCCGACAAGAAGGTCGACGAAGCTATCAAGAAGGAGGAGGAGGCCCAGCAGGCCGTCGAGCTGGCTGCCCGCAACCTCGCTGCGAGGGTCCTCCCAACGCCCGAGGAGACGCTGCCTTCATCGGGCTCGGTGCTGCACATCGGCGCGCTGCTGGAGGATCCTGACTCGGTGCGTCTGGATTTCGGCGAATCGATCGATGTCACGGGCCCCGCTTTCTCGGATGAGGACAGAGCGAAGTTCAGCAATTTCGCCGAGCAGCAGCGCATCGCTGCCACGGAGCTCCTTCGCAAGGCTTTCTCGGGCGTCGCCGAGCAGGCCAAGAAGCTCCAGTCCGAGTACGTATCTTACGTCAAGCAGATCCAGAAGAAGCGCAAGGCGGAGGACGGCCAGGGCGTTGCAGTCCAGCAGCCGTCGGCCCCTCCCGCAGCGGCGGCCAGCTCCCCTGCAGGCGCTGCGGCGGAGGCCAGCCAGGAGCCTCCTGGCCCAGCGGCGCCTGCCGCCTCGCCCACGCCCGCTGAGGCCGCCGAGCTGGAGGCAGAGCGGCGTCGGGAGGCCGTCCGCGCCGCCAGCGCGGCACGCGCAGCTGCCAAGCAGGAGGCGGCGGCGGCGGCCCCCCCGCGGGGGTAGCCTGGGCGCTGACGACGAGGGCCGCTCCCTGAGGCTGGTGTACGGGAACATCTCGTGCTGGGGGCCCCAGGCTGAGCGCTGGCTGGCGGAGACGCTAGCAGACGTGGTGGTCTTGGTTGAGACCAGGGTGAGGGGTGTTAAGTACACCCAGATGTGCGCTGCCGCGAGGCGGCTGGGCTGGAAGGCTGTTGGCGGAGAGGCTGACGCCACGGAAGCCTTTTCCACGTCGGCGGGGGTGGTGATCTTCGCCCGCGCCCGACTTGGGCTCGCCTCGCTGTGCCTCGAGGCGAACGGAGGCTGGACATCAAGTTCCTGTTCGCGCTGGTGCGTGGCCACCCTCAGGCTGCGCCGCGTCACGCTCACCATCGTTCCGATCTACATGGTCTCGGGCGAGGAGTTGGGCGGCCGCAACCTCAAGTTGCTTTCTCAAGTGGGTGCTCGGCTCGGCCAGTTGGCGGGCCCTCTCTTCATCGTTGGGGACTGGCAGTCTGTGTCCAGCGAGCTTGCGACGACTGGCTTCATGGCGGCGCTTGGCCTGGTCGAGGTGCAGTCGGGTTTGCAGGTCACGTGTACTGGCGGCAGGGGCGCAGGGCGTGCCATCGACTACGCCCTGGTCTCGTCCTCCTTCGCGTCGGCTGTGCAGTTTGCAGGGGTCGACGTCTCGGCCCCGTGGGGGACCCACCTCGCGCTCTCCTACAACATCCTGGCCAACCCGAGGTCGCTCATGGGCTGGTGTGTGGTCATGCCGAAGGCGCTGGACATCTTTGTCGCCTCCAACGAGAGCTACGACCTGGACTGGGACGCCGCCCTCTCTGAGGCCCGTGCCTTTCGCCAGCGCTTTTCTGCCCGTTTTACCTCTAACTTTGAGACGGCGAGCCTCGCCATTGCAGATCACGATGTGCCGCAGACTGCCCTTTTGCTCGGAAGTCAGCTCGGGGAGTGGGCCCTAGCTTTGGAGTTTGTGCATTGTGCCAAAAAAGGTATACCTCGCTCGCAGTGGCCTCTGTACGTAGGACGATGTCAGCAGCCTCGCCTCAAGTACGTTCCCATCGTGCCTCGTGCCAGCGACGGCCCTCCTCTCGCTGACCGCCATGCCCGTTTTTGGCAGGCCCTCGCTGTGCAGGCCTCCTTGCTGTTGCGTTTGGCTGATCCCGAGGCGGACCCATCCGAGGCATCTACTCCGCGCGCCGGCTGCGGTGAGCAGTTCTGGAGCACGATGCGTGGGCTTGAGGCCCTGCAGCTGCCCCCGCCTTTTGATCCGAACGACGCGGTGGAGGGAGCGATCCTTGAGCGTTGGATCTTTCGGCTCCGCCAGCTTCGCTCGCTGTCGCTTGACAGCCTTCAGCAGATCGCGGAGGAGGCTAAGGAGCAGGGAGTCCAGGCTGCCCAGCGCGCGGCTGCGGCGGCCCGTGCGCGCTGGCGTTCCTGGTTGTCCGACGCTTTGGCGGGTTCTGCCAGCAAAGCCCATAGGCTCCTCCGCGATCCTCCCGCCTTCTGCCGCGCCGAGCCTGTCTGGGACGGAGAGCCAGCCTCCACGCCCGCTGCCGTGCTAGAGGCGGAAGGCGCTGCGTGGCACGCAATCTGGTGCAAGCACTCGCGGCCCGAGGCTTTGGAGGCCCTCGCGAGGATCCGCCGTGCGGCTCTTTCGTCAGACTGCTTCGAGCCTGTCACTCCTGACCAGGTGAGGGGGGCGCTAAAGACCGTTCCTGATCGTCGGGGGAGGGGGATTGACATGATGCCGCCTCGCCTGGTCAAGGATGCGCCGCTTGCTGCTATCGCTGCGCTCGCGGCCCTTCTGACGGCCATCGAGCGCGAGGCCACAGTGCCCTTTCAAGAGTTGTTCAACCTCATCGCCTTGCTGGATAAGGAGGATGGAGGCCTGAGGCCCATCGCCCTGCTCAATTTCAGTTACGTGCTGCTATGCCGCATCAGGAAGCCTGAGATAGGCGCCTGGGACCGTGACCAGCACGGCGCCTGGGACAAGACTGTGGGTGGATCGGCCGACCTGGCTGGGTGGTTGGACGAGCTGGAGGGGGAGCTTGCGCTCCTGGGAGGCTTCGAGGTTGCGGGTGGACTGCTCGACCTTCGGAAGTTTTACGACCTGGTGTCTCTGCCTGACTTGGCGGCGGCTGCCCAGGATTTAGGCTACCCTCTCCGCCTCCTCGCTCTCGCCCTCGACGTCTACCTCGGTCCTCGACTCCTCACCCTCCAGCGCCAGGTGCACACAGGTATCTTGCCTGGCGGAGGCATCCTCGCTGGCTGTGGCCAAGCTGTCTCGCAGGCGCGTGCCTACCTGCACGCCCCGCTGAAGGCGGCTCACTCTTTGGTGCCAGGGTTGCGCCTGAGGGAGTGGATCGACGACCTCGCCTTCCGTCTTTTCGGCACTGAGCACTCGCTCAGCTTGGCCTTTCCTGTGGTGCTGCGCGCCCTCTTTACGGGCCTGCGCAGGTTGCGATGCGAGTTTTCCCTAGGGAAGTGTGGCCTCATGGCCTCCTCTGCTGCCATCCGTGCCTTGCTGCCCGCGTGGGCGTCAGCGGCCGAGGTCGGGGCTGGTGGCCTCAGGACTGTTCGTGTTGCCCGCGACCTCGGCCACGACACATCTTTCGGTGCCTCGCGTTCTGTGAAGGTGCGCAAGAAGCGTTTCATGAAGGGCAGGCGCGCCGCCCTCAAGATCTCGGGTCTGGTCAGGTCAGCGCCGCGAGCCTCACGCCTCTTCGTCTCCAATGCCCTGCCGAAGTCGGTGTGGGCGCCCGAGGTGCACGGGCTGGCGCCGACCATGCTGAAGCAGCTGCGTGGTCAGGCGAGGCTCGCCAGCAAGTGCCCTCAGCGCGGCACGTGCGCTACTGTGGCCATTCGCATCAGTTTTGGGGCGCGGCGCGACCCGCCCATCTGGTACCTGCGGCACATCGCAGAAGCTTTTTACTCTCGAGTCCTTGGAGAGGACGGCCTCGCTGCGAAGGTCCAGCGAGGATGGGACGCGTCCCTGAAGCGGGTGGCGCGTGGCTGGAACTTCGTGCGCGGCCCGCTCTCAGCCTTTCAGGCCTCTGTCATTGCAGCTGGCTGGCAGTGCCCGTCCCTGTCCAAGTTGGTCGAGCCAGACGGGCAGGAGTGGGAGCTCTTCGCCACCTCCGTCGCCCCCGTCACCAGCCTCCTCGCGGCTCTGGAGCAGACCGCTGAGAATGCGGCTTGGCGACAGGCGGCCAAGCATCTTGACGGGGGTGGGGCGGAGGGTGGCGTTTGGTGGCAGCATGTGCCTGCACTGGCGGAACGGCTGGAGAAGGAGTCCCAGCACAGTCTTGCCAGCCTCGTTCGCCTAGTCGCCTGCGGAGGATACTGGACGGAGGAGCGTCGTCACCAGGCAGGCTACCGCACGGACGACCTGTGTCAGCGCTGCCATCGCTCCCGCGAATCCAGCCGTCATCGTTTCTGGGAATGCATGTGCAACTTCATGGAGAGGGACTGGGCGCTCTCGGTCGGTGTGCCTCCCCCTCCAGAGGCCGTGGTCTCCTCCAACCATCTTCGCAGTCAGGCGTTGGAGGAGATCGACAGCGCCCCTGTCTTCTGGTGCCGCGGGCTTGTGCCCCTTGCCTGGCTGAACATCCCGCCTCCCCCCGACGAGCGTGGCCATCGGTGGCTGCGATGCGGCGTCGGGGCGCTGCCAGGGGGGATCTACGCCACCGACGGTGCAGGTGGAGCCTGGTCGTCTCAGCCCTTGCTACGGCGTGTGGCGTGGAGCTTTGCCCGCCTTGGCGACGGCCAGGGTCTGGACTGGGATTCTGGCTGCACGGGCTTGGTGGACGGCCCTGTGCAAACGGTGCCTCGTGCTGAGCTCCTGGCCATTGTGGAGTGCGTCAGGGCCGTCCACCCTGCTGCCGATTTCAAGCTGTTTCCGACCACGTGAATCACGTGAATGCGATAGCACGCGGACGCCGCCACTGCTACAAGCTCGAGCACGCGGACCTCTGGCACGATCTTTTTTCGCTGCTTGACGTCCGCGTGGGCCGCTTCGCGCTCCTGCACGTGCCCTCGCATCTAGCTGAGGACCCCGCGAAGTTTGCGCGTCTAGGCCACACTGTGCTGCCCGAGGCTATCTTTCTCAATGCAGTGGCCGACGGGCTCGCCGAGGAGCGGTCTGAGGAGGCCCAGCTTGATCCTGATGTAGCGCGTCGCGCTTTGGACTTGGTGGAGCAGGCCGAGGCCATCCTGCTCCGCAATGCTACGCTCTGTGCTGCCGCCGCCTCCGCCCCCAAGAGCCCTGGCCGTGAGGTTATCAAACCGAAGGTTTCTAGGGCTCAGAGGAGGGAGGAGCTGCTTTCTGGCTTCGCGGCTCGTTCCCAGCATGCCTTTGTGCCGACCGCTTTCGGCTGGTGCTGCAAGAGCTGTGGCCGATCGGTCAGGCGCACTCAGAGCCGCGCCCTCCACCTCCTGCGTTCATCGTGCTCGGTCCTGCGGCCGTCGCCTTGCTCGCCTCCCTGCCGCGTGGAGCTGCAGCAGCGAGGCCAGCTGAGGGAGGGGGACGGGGCGGTCGAGGACGGGGGGGGGGACGGTGTGTTGCCTCTCGAGCCTGCGGCAGAGCCAGAGGCGGAGGACACTGCTCCCGCGCCTCGGGTCTGCGTCAGGCTGCCGCGCTCGTACGAGGGGCTGCCGCCCATCGACGAGCAACTCTTTCGGTCTCTGGGGATGCCTGATCCCCCATCTCGTCTGCCTCCTGGCACTGGCATCGCTGGACATGTGCCGCATGCCTCTCACTTTTTGTGGCGCAAGGGCGCCATCACGTTCTGCAGCACCTGCGGGCGCTACGCGGACTCCAGGCCCTCGCTTCTTCTGGAGGAGTGCGAGGCGGCGAGGTACGGACCCCTCGCGCTGACTAAGGCGCAGCTGACTGCCCTGATGCGGCTGCGCAAGGGCCTCCCTCCCAGGCCTGGGGTCCGCGAGTGGCCCTCGGCGGGTGTTTAGCCCGCAGGTTTTGTTTGCCAGCCTGTCGCCCGGCCTTTTTGCTCTCGCGAATAGGGTGTGCGCCTGGCTGCCGCGCATTGCAAAACTCCTCCTCCTCCTCCTCCTCCTCCTCCTCCTCCCCCTCCCCCTCCCCCTCCCCCCTCCCCCTCCCCCTCCCCCTCCTCCTCTCCTCCTCCTCCTCCTCCTCCTCCTCCTCCTCCTCCTCCTCCTCCTCCTCCTCCTCCTCCTCCTCCTCCTCCTCCTCCTGCGCACGATGCACAGCATCGTTTCTCGCTTGCTTCGAAGAGGACTCGCTGTCCGCGCCGCCGCGGACGTGTGCCCCATAGCGGCCGCCGTCGATTTTTTGCAAGATCTGCTGTCGAGCATCGTACTCCGGATTTCATGGTAGGGGGGGTGGGTACAAAACTCCAAGGCAAGCCACTTCAGACACCCGCCCGTCGGGGATAGCCCCCCCCCCCGCGGGGATGACCTGCCCCCGTCGGGGATGAACCCGCCCCCCTCTGGCCAAGACAGCTTGAACCAGACCCCCCCCCAAATGTAACCCCTCCCTTTATCGTGAAATCCAGAGTATCGGGGGTGGACAGACCCCCCCAACAGTGACACGTCGATTAGTGGATTGTCCGTTTTCGGTTCTCGAGGGGGCGCCGCGGCCGTTCTTTTCCAGGCCTGCGCCCGCCAGGTTTCGGCCTCGGGTCGTTTTCACTATAAGCCACGTTTTACGAAAGGGAGGTCTGTCCTTGGCATCGCTCGGACGTGTGCCTTTTCCCTTCGGCGAGGACCATCGAGGAGCATCCTTGATCACTTGGCGAAAAAAACACGCACGAAACCGAAAAAAACACAGGGAACGGACGTCCGAGCGATGCCCAGAGGGATGTCTGTCCATCCGCACCCAAGTCGTGGCCGTCATGGGCCTCTTCTTGGGATGAGGCACCAATCGGCCTCTCGGATGGGCACCATACGCCCGTCCACAACCAAAGGAAGCGCACCATTTGCCTTCCGCATTTCTTTGGCAATTGATTGCAACACTCATGGACCTTTTTCATTTGATACTTCAACCTCTCTCCAATGGGGAGGGTCTCTGGGGGCAGATCCTGGGCCGCCGTAGTCTCGGCTCGCCCTGCGGCGAGCGACGGGCGGCGCCGGGTCGGACGGCCAGAGTTTTTGTTCGGGCGGGCGTTGGGAACGCCGATCTCCACGTTTTGCTCTGCCTCCCCCCGGCCTCGGTCTGGGGCTGCGGCCCCCCTTTCTGGACGCCCGAAATGGGTACGGAAAGAATGGGTACTATGCCCAACAGCAGGTCCTGTTCATTTTGAACAAGATCCGCTGTCCACGCCGCCGCGGCCTGTGTCCATTCGAGACAGGAGGCCGCCTGCCCAACAGCGGCCGCTGTTGGTTTGGGACAGCATTTGCTGTTGGGCATCGTACCCATTTTTGTCGGTACCCATTTCGGGCGTCCAAATTTTCGACTAGACGTAAGAGTGACCTTTCGCTGGAGTGACCTTTGGTGCGGGCACAGATGGGCCCCCAGGTGGCTGACAACGACGCAGGAGCAGCGGCTTGCGCGCCCAGGTTTGGTCTCCCCGTGGCCCCCGAAAAGCCGCGCACCAAAGCTCACTCTTACCCAGGGTCACTCTTGCGTATAGCCGACTTTTTCCTCCCCCATCTCTGGTTAATTCAAGCTTCGCGCGGCCCGCTCAGCTCCGACCGGAAGAGGTGCGCTCTCGA